AGAGAAGTCTGACGTGCGCTGGTAGCTGCTAACGTCGTTGGAGAAGAGAGAAATTGACGTGCGCTAGTAGCTGCTGACGTCGATGAAGAAGAGAGAAGGTTGACGTGCGCTTGTAGCTGCTGACGTCGAAGAATAATAGAGAAGGCTACTGGAGGTGCCTGTTTGATTGAAGATTCTTGACATTTTTTGTCTTTTCTTGGATCGGGCAATGCCCTATTTCCTTCTTGAAGGGGTGAGTTGTAGAGGTCTTATTTCTTCTTTCACTACTTCCCCTCTTGGCTTTGCTTTTGTACTGATTTACTTTGGATTTTTATTTGTTCAACAGAAGAGAAAAAGAAGGGATGTTGATGATTAGAATGAGTGATTTTAGAGAGAAAAAGTAGGTTAAGAATTGGAGATGGAAAAAAAAATTTGGGTCTGAGATTTTGATATGGTGAATTGGAGAGAAACAACAATCATTTTTTTTCTCTTTTTTTTTTTGAGAAGATAGGATGATCTGAGAGAGTTTGTGAGAAGTTGGGTTTTTTTTTTTTGAAGAACCATGGAGATGACAACACAGAAGTTCCTCCTTTGATAGTTTTTTTTTGTGTGATTTCAACAAGGGTTTTTTTTCTTTTTTTTCATTCGAATGGAGAAGTTGATTTGAGGATAAAAAAGAAAAAGAAAATAGAGGTGAATAGGGTGGAGCCGCCGTCGCCGGAATTACCGGCGGCGGCGGCGGGAGCAAAGAACTCTTTTAGGTCACCAAGAGCGGTGACTCCGATACCACGTTGAAATATTGGAATAATAATATTGCTCCTTGGATTATGAAGTAATGATAAAGTATATATATAGAAGAGACTCCTAACACAACTAGGAATAAAGAATGGAAACTAACTAAAATACAACTTCTACCATAACTAGGAATACTTAATATTATTGTCTAACATCCCCCCTCAAGCTGAACTCTGGCTGAAGCAAGATGAAGCTTGAACACTAGCCGGAAACTGGAAACTTTGAGGAGAGAGAAATCTGACGTGCGCCGGTGGCTGCTGACGTCGTTGGAGAAGAGAGAAGTCTGACGTGCGCCGGTGGCTGCTGACGTCGTTGGAGAGGAGAGAAGTCTGACATGCACTGGTAGCTGCAGACATCGTTGAAGAAGAGAGAAATTGACGTGCGCTGGTAGCTGCTGACGTCGAAGAAGAAAAGAGAAGGTTGACGTGCGCTTGTAGCTGCTGACGTCGAAGAAGAATAGAGAAAGCTACTTGAGCGGTCTCTTTGACTGAAGATCTTTGACATTCTTTGTTTTTTATTGGATCCGGGCAATGCCCTATTTCTTTCTTGAAGGGGTGTAGAGGTATTCTTTCCTTTTTCACTACTTCCCCTTTTGGCTTTGCTTTTGTGTTTTTTTTTTTGAATTTTTTATTGGTTCAACAAAAGAGAAAGAGAAGAGAGTTTGATGATTAGAATGCGTGATTTGAGAGAGAGAAAAAAAGTGAGTTAAGAATTGGTGATGGAAGAAAGATTTGGGGCTGAGATTTTGATATGGTGAATTGGAGAGAAACAACAATTGTTTTTTTCTCTTTTTTTTGAGAAGATAGGATGAGTTGAGAGAATTTGTTAGGAGTTGGAGTTTTTTTTGAAGAACCATGAAGATGACAAGAGAGAAGTTCCTCCTTTGATGATTCTTTTTGTGTGATTTCAACAAGTTTTTTTCCTTTTTTTTCATTTGAATGGATAAGTTGATTTGAGAATAAAAGAAAGAAAAGAAAATAGAGGTGAATAGGGTGGAGTCGCCGTCGCCAGAATTACCGGCGGCGGCGGCGGGAGCAAAGAACTCTTTTAGGTCACCAAGAGCGATGGCTCTGATACCATGTTGAAATATTAGAATAATAATATTGCTCCTTTGAATTATAGGGTACATGATAGATTATATATAGAAGAGACTCCTAATACAACTAGGAATAGAGAATAGAGACTAACTAAAATATAACTTCTACCATAACTAGGAATACTTAATATTATTGTCTAACATTTCTAAATTAATTACTCTTAAACAATACACTATGACACATTAAAGACCGTGCAACGCACGGGTACGAAATCTAGTCTAGTCTAGTCTAGTCTAGTCTAGTATATTTAAAAGCAAGGGAAGTTCATGCTATAGTTTTCCCGCCCAAAGTTTGATGCCATATTCACAGTTGATCAATAATCTTTGTCGTTGATTGAGCTTTGGGAAAATTCATGTCTCTCCGCGGAATGCACTTACTACTTGAGCGTGTTGTATTAATGTATACGGCCGACCTTCCATTTTCCAACATTTGGTGTCATAGCTCATTGGGTTGACTCTTCCGTTCTTTATGCCACTTTTAACTATTCATTCCTTTTTTTCTTAATTATAGGGGTAAATTTATACCACCCTATGTATTACTCCACAAAAAAAGCACTCCATATATGATTTTGATTTTTTGTCAATAGAGAACTTACACAATTTACAATAATCAATACAATGAGGATTTTTAAAGAAGAATCACAGATACCGAATACTGAGTACATAAAATGATAATTGAAACTTTAATGCGTGATTCAACTTTGAAGATTGTTTGTAAGTCATAAAAATGATCCAAATTTTAAACGACTGCAATTTTTTAATGCAATCAATAAAAATTGATATTTAGCATTTGTTTTTTAATGTATTTGTTTCTAATTTCCAACACAATGTACGGAGTAATTGTTCAAATTGGTACTGTATTTTGTAATCAAATTTAATTTTAAATTATCAATTTAACACAAATTTTTTATTTGTAAATTTACATTCTTTAATTACAATATTTGTATTTCCGTAAGTGATTGATGGATATTTTAATTTCATGATTTACTAAATACTCTGTAAATTTCATTTTTGAACCTATTAGTTGTACTGCTAATGTGGGGGTTTTTATGGGGATAGTAATGTAGTTCACAAAAAAAGTTTTTCAAACTTCAAATTTCTTTAAATTTTATATTTTGATTTAATAATGTATTTGTTGTTAATCAATATTAACGTAATTAAATGATTTCATATCAGAAATGTTACCCGTGCAACGCACAGTGCTTCTCTACTTCGCTGTTACCTTCTCCGTGCTGCGCAAACCCTAGTATTGCTCTCCTTCGCTCTTCTCCTGGAGGTATGCCTCTGTTTTCTTTTCTTTTTTGCTGGAATTGAAACTACGGATCTGCACCTATAGAATTTCATTTCTGGATTTGCCCCAAAATTTCCTGAAAGATTAGATTTTTTTGGAATTACACTTGAAGATTTTAGTAATATCTGGTTTTTTTTTGGAATTCTGTTGGAAGGTTTTCTTGGATTAGAATTTTTTTGGGTAGGAATATGAATCTGCACCGATGAATATTTTTTGGAATTGCAGAAGATTTTGTTTGGAATATGATTTGTAGAACTTGTGCAGAATTGATTTAGTGAAGGAGTAGAATTTTTTAATTGTTTTCGTTTACTATAGAAGGATTAAAATTTGATTTATAATACTCCGTAATTAAATACAAGTAATAAAAATTAAAAATAATAAAAGTGTATAATATAAATTTAAATAAATTAATTAAATAAATACACTATAATAAAAGTGTATAATATAAAAATAAATGTGCTTCCCTGCATACATATACTCCCTCCGTCCCAAAAAGAATACCACGTTTACTATTCTGGCCTCTCGATAACTTTTGTTTGTTTACTTGTTTTGGTTGACCATTTGATAAAATAAAATATTCTTGTCGCATCTTGTTTTGTAGAGCTTTTCATATACTTTTAAATGGTGTAATTTTTACTTTTTATTACTCTACCAATTTGAAATTAAAGTGATTTTAAAAGAGATGATATTTTGCACGTCGTTCGAAGTGTTGCAAATAAATTGGGACGGAGGGAGTACTCCGTATTATTTAATTATAAATTAAATTTTACAATACTCATTTTCCAGAAAAGAAGTCAAATAGAAAAAGACAATTCATAGTTGTGAAAAGCGCGCTTGAGGCGCGATGCGCACGAAGCGCCAAAGGCAGTGCATCAGCAACCTTGATGCACGCGCAGTTCATAAGGCGCACCTTTCTGCACCTCGTCGTATTATGCGAAGTACCTTGATGCGCAAAAAGGCGCGCCTTAGGAACACATGTTTACTTTTTTTTATATTTTATAAATTAAGTTTTGGGATTAGCGTTATTTATTAGGATTAAACATTTAAATCCTCCTAACTTTTACGACCCCCAAGGAGATTAAACGGCACCTGGGCTGGGCAAATTAAACGATTGTTTTCTCTTCTTTTTTTCTTTGAGTGCGACTCTTCCTCCTGTCTCGCAAGTCCTCCAAACCGCGGCACACCTTCCCATCTCTTCCTCCCGTCTCGCAAGTGACAGAACTCAGAAGCAGTCAAGCAGGTGATATCGGCTCTCCTTCCCCTCTCTTCTTACTTGATTTTTTTCTGTCGCCGGTTTTCTTCCTTCTACTGGGCAAGTTAATTTGTCAAACACTTTGTTGTAGTATGGAAGAATCTGCAGATTTAGAAGGGGAAGATGACCCAAATTCTAATAATTTGCTGGTTTTCTTCCTTCTTAGCCTTTTGTCTATCATTTTGTTGCTCTTTGAATGCTTTTTGTCTATGACTTTTGTTGCTCTTTGAACTTTATGGTTTTTAATTTTATCAATGCCTCTATGGTACAATGTGTGACTTTCAATCTTAATTGATTTCTAAACCTTTATTATGCTTTTTAAAATTTTATATATACTATTCTTAATGTAGATATACTATATATTCAATATTCGACTGGTGTCTTAATCTGCGCATTGTGTTCGTGATGCGCGCGCATCAAGTGCGCATCGCGCATCGAGGCGCTAGAGATACTTTGTGCATCGGTGCGCACCACGCCTTAAATAACTATTACGTTTCCCCAATTTCCCTCCTATTTCTCGAAGGCTGGATACCTTTTCGAGGTCATTCCTGTGAATTATTCATGGGTCTTCCATTAACAAAATTGAAGCGGAGTTAACAAGAGGTTTGATGATAGTTGTGGGTAGCCCCTTGCTTTCGCTTCGGTATCTTTCCAAGCTCCCTTATCCTCAATTTGCATTATCAGCATCTGCTTCGACGCCTGGTAAAAACCACTCTTCTCTCTTGTTCTATTCTTTCTCAATGTCTATGCATCTATGAAGATTCTTATTGATTTGTTATTTTACCTTGATTTAAACCTTTTTTTGAGGAATTGGTTAGAGATGGCGATGGGATCATCAATGCCTTCAATTATAGTGTTGTGTGGGAAATCTGATGTCGAGAATGAACTGGCCAAAGCACTGAAGAAGAACAATGCTCTGAAGCTCCTTGGAGACAATGAATTCAAAGTTGTTCTGCATTCGGAGGTGGACAATAGATTAAGAAATGATGCATTTAATGTAGACCATTACTTTAACTCTCTCTCCACAGCAACTGGACTCGGGAGATTCGTCATTTACTCTCCCAGACTTTCTTCCACACAGGATTTTATTGCAAGGTATGCATGATTGTGTCTAGTTATTAAGGTATTAATCATTCTTGGTTTCCCTCAATATTGCGTTGAAAGTTAGTTTACCATCCAATTGAAAGCATATAATTGATAGCATTTGTAGACTCTACTGTATTATACTGATATTGTAGCATAGGAGAAAGACCCAATAACTTCCCAATTTAAATATTTAGTTATGTTAAAAACTAACCCAACACAAATATTTCCCACCACCTTAAGGTCATGATTTTACCACTGTCATTATTTTTGTTTTTTGCCAGCAATTTCTGTGAGTTGCCACTTGGTGCAGTGTGTGTTGCTGATGTGCAATTCAAGGGGCGAGGTATCATTGAAGTTGTGTTCTTAAGTTAATAATGCTATTAATCAGACAGCTTATCTATGTTTTTACTTTTGGGGCCAAGGGCGTTCAATGAATGTGTGGGAATCCCCAAAGGGTTCCCTTCTTTTTTCATTTACCTTACAAATGGTGGATGGACGAATGGTGCCACATGTGCAGTATGTGGTCAGTCTTGCTATGGCAGATGCCATTAATGATCTCTGCAAGCAATATGTAAGTGCATAAAAACATTTTTTCACATTGTTGTGTTGCATATTGTAATTGCTAGCACAAAGCTTTGACCCTATTTAAAAACATACGAAGTAAGATCTAAATAAATAGGCGATGGGAATTGGGAACCTCTAAATAGCATAGAGCATGTTTTGTGATTCTAGGAGAAAACAACCTTCTAAGAAGATATTTCTTTGTCCCATATATTTATGCGACATGGAGAGATGATACACAAACTAAGAAAAATATAATTGTGTGGTTGATATGAAAGTGGAAATGAAAGAATCCATTTAAGCAACAAAAATGTTACAAAATATGAGATGAGGCAAGAGTAGGACAAACAAAAGTACTAAAACGAACTAAATCTATTGGGATGGAGAGAGTAATACAATCTTTTCTATAATTCAAATCTAACTGAACAAATTCTAGGAAATGGATTTTTGAAGGTCATCATTTTTTAGACGAAGATTGGTTATCTGCATATCTTATACAGAGAGACCAATTCACCCCTTTTAATTTCCATGACATCTGTTGAATGACAACAAACAGTAGGATCCCACAAAAGTAGGGTATGGGGAGGGTGTGTGCGCAGACCTTACCCCTAGCTTAGGTAGAAGAACAAATATTATGCAAGAAAACAAATAGCAATTAATGTCAAGAAAAGTATAGAGAGACAAAAGACACAGAAACAACTACAGCAAAAAGATCCTGATTCTAGGGACTACCCAACTATCATAGCCCTAGATCTCCAAACGCCCAAATGCTCCTATATGTTAAATGACAGAAAATCGATCAAGAGAAATTGGTTGAATTCATATTTTCGCTTTAATATTCCCCATAATTATGGAAACAACATTATTAGTAAACACTAAACATTAAGTCAACACTCATTTTACTATTCAATAGAATTTAATACTTTCCATAGCTTACAAAACATGCCACAAGTGTAAGTGTTATATGTAAGGGCAACAAGGGTTGTTAAGACTCCTGTAGAAATTTAGAAAAAGAGGTTAGTTTGGGGGGGGGGTCCTGATAAGCTATAATATACGCTTGAATATGACATACTACATGCTCAACTCTCAATTAGGATCAACTCTAGAATTTAATTAAGAATTACACATAATTAAAAGTCTAAAACCTGGCACTTCCACTTAAACTAACCACTCTCACGCCCTGTTCTCCCATCCTTTCATTTCAGACTCCAGAACTCCAACTACCAGAGTACCAGTGCTAGTTCCATGTTTTGGATTCAAGTTATCAGTTTCTAGTTAAAATCTATTTTAGTTTTATAGTGTATATCACTCTAGGTATCACTTATTACCCGGTTTCAGTCAATTTTCATACTCTAGTTGCCAGAGTCCATACTCCAGATTCCAGTTCTTCTTGATGGATCCAAGAGAACCCTGAGAGAAAGCAAGGTTGCAATATGTGTATTGATCGTGTAAGGAATTAGCCAACAAGTCCCCGGAAAGGAAGAGGATGAGCAACACAACAATTTTCACCTTCGTTTGAGTACGAATCCCCAAATGGAACCTGAAATTTAAAAATTTCTTTCAAATTTCCCCTAACTCTGCCTCCCGGCTGAGTACGAGTCCTAGATTCTTGCAAGAGTCTCCCACTCGCCAAAGGGGAGGATAATGATTGAGTCCTATCTAGAATGGGATATTTATTAATTATTGTTTAAATATTTTATTTTATTATTTTTCAAAGTTTTTTTGGATCTCAATTCTCATAAGCTTAAGATAAGTTTAATCCTTTTCCATCCCTAACATGTAGGAATTCTCAATTTCACTATTATTCAATTGTAATCAGACTCTTAATCTCTGACCTATCTCTGGCATTTCTCATCATTCAGAAATAAACAGCTAATTATTTTCAATTGGAGATTTGCCGTTGCCAGCTATAGGGAGTTATTGGGTGAGATTCTTTCACTAAATAGGTTTCATCATATTTTCCTATTGAGTTCCTCTTTGGTTTGTTCGAAACAGACTATGAGGATCCTATATGAGGGCAAGTTTACTTCGATTTTTTCCCATTAAATAATCACACTAAAACTAAATGTCTTTTATAATTTGGGAAAAAGAGTGTTGCAATTATCTATTGCTTGGACTGCAGGTTAATGATGGTGCAAATGGTGTGCACCACAAATGCGTCATTGGTGATTTGGTCCCCAATCACCACAAATCTGGTTTTGGCAACCGATCTTCCAATGGCAATGCCATTTGGCGCCATTGCCACACCATCTTTATTTGTGTGCCAATTTTTTTTGCCCAATGTTTTCTCGTCCAATATATTTGAACCCAATCCAAAAACCCCTTTTATTCTCGATCTTTAGTTGCTCTCCATCACATCTTACATTCTCCAATTGCTCTTGTTCTTTGCACCCGTTCTTTGCAGAACAGCACCATCGCGAGTTTTCTTTTTAATTGCTCCATGACCATCGCCAAGTCTGCAACCTCCGACGTCCTTTTAATCAACTTTTGCATTTTGCTTAAGTAACTAAATTGAACTTTTTATCAACTTTAGTTTGAATGAGTTTCGCTTAAGTTGCTAGATTGAACTTTTATCAACTTTAGTTTGAATTAACTTTTAGGTTTTGCTTTAGTTGTTTTAATATTAGCACCTTTAAGTGTTCTGGAATGAATTTTTGGTTGTGTTTTTACTTTGAACATGAATATTTAGATCAAGTACTCTATTATTTTAATTGGATTTATGTCTTGTACATTTGTCGATTTAGTTCATTGGTTGTGTGACTTGTATCCCGTGGTGATGCCATAGTTGCGCCATCGCCATTTGAAACTGGCTCATTGCCATGATTGTCGCCATGTGCCCTCACAATTAGGCTTGTAAAAAGACATTAATGTTTTTTCCTCTTGAACATGAAACATAAAGATCATGGTGCATCAGCATGCAATCTTTCTAATCTGAAGATGTATTATAATATTTCAAGCTTCTGCAACTCAAAGTTAATATGTACTCTCTTCATTCCCTTTGGTTCTTCCCACTTGCCTTTTTGGGTTGTCCTTTTTGTTGCTTCTCACTTTCCTAATACGGCAACTAAATGAGAACTAAATGTCTACTTTTCCATTTGAAATTTAAGTTCTTCACATCATTCCCCTGTTCTTTCATCTTTGTCAATCCCCCCTGCCTCCAAATTTGTCTTCTTGAAGACTTCAACCCCTCCACCCAAACCACCACACAATTTCTCCTTCTTCCTCTTCAACTCACCCCACATTTTGCCTTTCTTCTTCAATCTCCCCTAATTTCTTTGTTCTTCTTCATCAACCCACCCTAAACCCCCCTACCACTACACAGGGAAGGCAGCATCAAGCTCTGTGCACTCATTCTATTATTAGGGCATTTCTGTTTTGAAACTTTGGCAGCGAATCTTGGTTTTCGTCTCTAGGGCCAGCTAAGCTTGGGGTGTGGGCCGTGTAGCTTTTCTTACTTTGCGAAAATGAAGTTTTTATTTTTCTTCTTTTCTTCAACCATGAACCATGGATTGTTGAGGTTTCATTCAGACAACAAATTATTCACCTGATTTGGGGATTTAAGTCATTTAACAAAAGGATAAAGAGTCCAGGCTTTTTGCATGTTACAGGCAGGGATCTAGCTTTGGTCTCTCCTCCAGCCCCGAATAGGGAAATGTATGGGGTGATTTTTATTTCATCAGTCGGTGCATATAAGGTTTCAGTGGTATAACTTCAGGTGTCTGGTGGGGAAGAGGCGGGGTGAGTTATGGAAGAAGGGTAGGGAGGGTAAAATTGAAAAGTCAACTATTTTTTCACCTTACATTAAAAATCGTGCCTAGTCAGATTGAGAAGAACCAAAGAGGACAAAGGGAGTAGTATTATTCAGAGCGGGTGATGGCTAAATTAGCCTGTACCAAGATTTACTGTTTACAAGTAGAAAACATCTCATACTTTAGGCGAGGTTAGCTGTAAACTGTTTTCTATAAGCTTCATCAATGATTTCTTATATGAAGGAAATGTGAAGCAGTGATGGAAAAGTTCTTTGAAACTGATCTTTACCCATTAAAGTTTATTTTTGTAGTATGATTAATTGCATTCTAATTTGATGGTTTAGCTCTCCCAAATTTCTCTGCATCTTTTGGATTAATGCTTTATAATTGTTTTGGAAATGTAATTCATTTCAGGACGCCTCAGATCTTGTTGTAAGAATAAAGTGGCCAAATGATCTTTACTTAGATGGTCTTAAGATTGGTGGCATTTTGTGCACTTCAACATACAAGTCCCAGAAGTTTAATGTCAGTGCTGGTAAACAGTCTAAGTGTCTCTAGCTGAAGACTTTATTTATTAGTTCATTCAGTCCATGAACTAACCATAGTATTTTTCACAATGTGGTCATACAAGCTGCTTCATTGAGGTGGTTTAACGAGTTGCTTCAGCGAGGTGGTTTGATAAGCTGCTTTAGGGCATCTTCTCTTCAGCTTATTCTTATTACTTATGAGTAATACTTATTCTTATTGAAATAAGATCATTAGGAGAATTCAAATCAAATAATAAATAATGCGATCTAATTTGATTCGAAACAACCTTAACTTTAGAGTGAATTCTCAAAAAGGTCCTTTCTAATATGGTGTTTTCCCAAATTAGTCCTCAATAAGAAATAATTACCAACGTGGTCCTTTGTAATTGAGATGTATTCCCTAAATAGTCTTCTGACGAAAATGTCTATTAAATGTCAGTCAAATCGAAGGTATTTTGGTATTTTCTGTCATCTAGACTTAAAGTATGTTCACAAAATGCTCCTTTATAATTGAGTAATTCTTCAAATAGATAATTTCTAAGTAAATCTTTTCCCAATATGGAGTCCATGAGCCTGTTCGGGCTGGGTCAGTTATTCTAGCAGCCACCCAATTTATTTGAAAGCATCATTTTGAGGACTTATTCATAGTTTAGATGATGAAAAATACAAAAATACCCTCCGTTTAAGTGTTATTTAATAAGCAATTTTGACAGAGGATTATTTAGGGAATACATCTCAATTACAAAGGACCATGTTGGTAATTATTTCTTATTGAGGGCTAATTTGGGAAAACACCTTATTAGAAAGGACCGTTTTGGGAATTTACTCTTAACTTTAACTAGAATGAGATCGAATTTGACCAGAAAGATTCCTTAATAAATTCAGATTAGAACTAATAACTTCAGATGAAGAGAACATGCCCTTAGTGCTTTCCTTGGATACACTTAATTTTCACATTACAAGAGATAATATATTGCTGATGCGGAAAAGAAATCTACTTGTTTTACAATGCGGTTTTGTGTGTTGTTGAACTTTTATGAAATTCAGTTGCTTACACGTGATGAACTGCTTAATTTTCAAACAGCATGACTCCTGGGTTTGCTTGGTGGTGTATAAATGTATCAGTTGACAATTTCAAGTTTTCAACAACATGATTCCATAGTCCATGCTTTTTTTGATTACTTACTGCCTTTATACAGGAATAGGCATAAATGTCGATAATGAGAAACCCACTACCTGCTTGAATGCTGTTCTACAGAAATTAACATCTGCTCCAAATTTATTAAAAAGAGAAGACATTCTTGCAGCATTTTTCAATAAATTTGAGACTTTAAACGAGGTTTTCCTAAAACAAGGTCAGATATTCCTCCTTTGAACAAGGTATTATTGGCCACTCAAAGATAATATCTAAATGTTCTGATTGATTGTATATTGCATTTGACCATGTTACTTTTTATGGTTGCTGTTGCTCTGTACAAGAGTGAAAATTGCCATAGTTTTCTGCAGTCATGTAGTCTCTTGATGCTAGAACGCCCCTAAGATATGGAATAAACATGCAACATTTTATGTTTTGGCTTCTGCAATTATAGTTGCCTGGCTTGTAGTCTAACATGCCTGCTTCTTCCGGGATACACAGAGTAATACTTATCCCATGTTCTGAAGGGGAAACTTCAGTCCAAAATATGTTAAATTACCAACATTTTCTGTCTTGAAGTGTTGAAAACTGGAAACAAGTGTTTTCAAGGTGTTCCATTTCCTTTGCATCATCCTTGATAATCAAAATATCATCATCAGCATATTAAATCAATAGTTTTCCAGCCATTTTTTGTTTTAAGAAAGACCGAAGCAACAACCTTATTGTTAATGTATAGATTTCATTTGTAGATTAGCCGAATAACACATATATGAGCAAAAGTACATCAGATCTAGTGTTAATAACAAAAACACTAGACATCCTAAACTACCTTTTCATTTGTAGTCCTCGCCCAAAGACTTATAGATGTCAAAACATCTTCTATGACAAAGACTAACACTGTACGCGCCACAATCTCAAGACTGCTATTTTCATCCATAAAATTTCTCTAAGCAAAATCAACACATACGTGAACACAAAACCAACAATTCTGCAAAGGGAATACAATAAAGCACCCATTAGGGTAGACCAACTAAACAACCCATAATGGGGACAAAAACTTCATATTTGAGTTACTTATTAAAAGTAGAACACAACTAGGGGCTTATCACCACACAATGTAGGGGCCTAGGGGGAAGCAACCCCAAACATGAGAAGATATAACAACCATGGTTGTTAAGTCGGCAAGCCGAGTCGAGTCGGTGAAGGAGAGACTAGTGGACTAGTCGACTAGTCGGCCTACTAGTCGTGGACTAGTCGACAAATCACAATTAGTATTGAAATTTTTGACATTATATATTTCTTCATTCACCCAAGATAACTATATATATTTATATGACAAAATATTATTACCAAAATTAGATTATATTTAGAGATAGCACATAAAGTCACATAATGAAGGGTACATAAGAAACAAATATCCTTCAATCTTTAAAAATAACACACCAACAAAGATAATAAGCACAACAAAGAAGTTGAAGAACATATTAAAATATTTAATTCCATGTTTTGAGTTATCAAATACCATCATCCAACGTTATGCCACCATGATGATTTTCTTTTATTGTGATGTCATAGATAGCCGGAGAGGTACGACCATAGTCATCATCAACATCTTCGTCATCATTGGGAAAAACATCAATCCCAGTTTCCAAATCATCATCCACCAATCCAGTATTTGAAGCACCCCGTCGGCTATAGAGAATCTTGGCATTTGATGTACTTGTAGGTTCACTTGAGGAAGTTGTACCACTTCTCCTAAGCAAGTCACGCCCCTCGAGATTGTTTGAAGCATCAGTTGCCTCATCCACATTACTCCACAGAAGATCATCTCTCAAATGAACAACTTCTTCATTGGCGTCGACCCATTCATTATTCCATTGAAACTCTTCTAATACCAAAGGGTTGAAGATATTTCCTTGTTCTCGATGCCTTTTGAAGCGATTGAAAATCTTACGATTATATTTCACATACACCAAATCATTCAATCTTTGATGCTCAAGTCGATTTCTTTTCTTTGTGTGAATCTAATTGTAAAAAAAATATAATTAGTGTGAAAGTGTAATAATGCATGGACTAACTTTCAAAGAAAATATTAGATTTTGATTAGAAAAAGTGTTCAAATTAGGTTCACACCCAGATGAAGAACAACAAAGACCAATTATTCTTCTAGCAAATGTTAGGAGCTGTGGAGTTATCCACCAAACAAATTCCACCAATCAAATGAAAAACTTAAATAAAGCACAAAAATATAATTAAAATTTCTTTTACTTCCCACAACATTAATTATTTTAAAATACTTACGTGGGGACATGATCGTTCATTGCTTAATTGGCACATTCTTTGCAAAGCCAACTCTTACCTCGTCGTATTCACCACTTGCTGAATAATCTTCATTTGCAAACAGTCATCACCTATTGTCATTTTTTCTACGACCTCATTAAACAAGATCCTATGCCTAGATGCATATGTTTCATCTTTGTCTTTGAGCAAAAAATATACTTGCCACGATTCAAAAAAAATGCAGCTGTATATATTTTTTTCTCCATTTGATTCACCTATCGCTTCTCAATTATGTCTATCATTTTTTTTCCAACATTGGCTTGTTGAAAAATGACTCTTTAATTTTATCCTTAGCAACATCTATAGTTGCTATCAAAATCTGTCATGGCAAGTCCTTCATCTTCATTGACAATTCTCAACACGATTAAAAGAGCTTGTCATGCCCTTATACAATCCTCCACCACTTCCCAGAACCTAGAAGAAAGTACAATATCACATACGTTTTTTCTCGCCGCTGTATTTGCTAGCTTAGATTTATTCCAATCTTCACTAACAAAGAGGATTTTCAATGCATTATTGTGCTTCTACATACTGTGTAGAGTGAGGAAAGTCGTGGTAAATCCTGTAACTCCGGGTCGAACAATTTTTTCCCATTGGTTTTTTCTCTCAATGCAGCATGAAGTCTTACATGTCTATAAACAAATCTAGTCACACGCCTTGCATTTTCAATCTTACTTTTAAAGTATTCCAACTTACCTAAGTCTTCTAACATTAGATTTAAACAGTGGGCTCCACAAGCCACAAGGTGTCCAAAAGAGCCTAGGAATACGAGACTCAAGTATTTTTCTAGCGGCTTTGTAATAGGAACCATTATCAGTTACTACTTGAACAACTTTGCCTCTTCCAATTTCTTTAATCTTCTCTTCCAATAAATCAGCTAACATACTTGCATCATTCACCTGCGTTGAAGCATCAACTGAGCCTAAGAAAAAAAGTCACTTGAAGACTATTTGCAAGAAAATTTATTAAATGTCAACCTCTTGTGTCTGTCCACCCATCTGACATAAGCGTGCAACCATTTTTTGACCAAACTTTTTCATGCTTCTTTTTCAACTTCATGGTCTCTTCTCTTGCTTTCTAGAGTAGTGGTACACGTAACTCATGATACGATGGTGGTCTCAACCCAGGTCTATATTGCCCAATTGATTTCATCATAATTTCAAAACTTCTGGAGTAGCGTTATATGGTATCCCATTTTTGATGAAGAAATCATTAATATGCATATGAACTCGCGCTTGCTCTTTTTTACTTTTGACAAACCGTTCCATCGTTCTTTGAGTTGGGCCCTTTTTATGTCTTTCCTCAACCAGTTCTTCAGGCATTTTTCTTACCATACAAGCAACAAATTGTAACTGTGGTTGAGTAAACTTAAGGGCACCTTGCTTCCATTTGGCATTTGTACCCAAACTTGGTTGAGTAATGGAGTGATTTGAAGCTAAAGAGGAATCCATAGGCATATCATCCACATTCATATCGTCATCACCAACTTCATAATCATCTTCAACGTCCAACGACGTGTATTTTTCCCTCTTGTTCTTGTTCAAATACTGTTGCATTTCTATGGATATCTCTGTTGTTGTATTTGGACACTTTGTGACATCCCCAAATCCACCAGCAAGATGACGTTTGAACCGTCCGCCATTGATGTGTTTGTGGCATAATGTACACTCCACAAAATTTTTGTTCATATTTGGCCAAAACCCATATTTCCATCCGGAATCACTGAAGCTGGCTTTTTGTTTGGGGTCTTTAGATGGATCGTCGTAGTCGCGGATATTATTATCTCCCATTTGTTAGAAATAAATATTAATTAAGTTGATGACTATGACATTCTAGCAAGTTCCTAACTCAAAGTGCATCCCATTGTGCAAAAATAATAACCAATAATGTTATTACCCCCAAAATACCAAAATAAACAAAAAAATCTAAAAATTAACTGAAATCAGCAAAAAGCAAACTGAAAAATTAAAAAAATTGAAGAAAAGTGAAAAGTTAAGAGTATAATATACTTAAATAGTTTGATGAACCAAACTAAAGAAAATTAAACCAAATTAAGAGTATACTTTATAATAAAGAATCAAAGATAGAGAAACCCATGGAGAATGATAGGGAGCGTGTGAATCCTGGAAGATGAAGAAGAATCAAATCCAAAAAATTGATCCTGGAACTGCTGGAAGATGTTGATGGACAGAAGGAGATGTCGCGACTTGGAAAAGGTTAAATGTCGATTCCCTGGATTGCGGATTGTGCTGATTGAACCAATCGAGGGAGGTTGTGTTTTTTCAGGTAATTTTTAAAATTTAGGTTGGGTCGGGTCAAATTGGGGAGGTTTTCTTCACCGACTACGCGTTGCTTTTCTCACCTGGACACCTAATCTCCCTTAATTGCTAGCCGACGTGCAAGTCGCCATCGAGAAAATGTCTGGATGACTAGTTGGCGACTAGTCGGAGCCTAGGCGACGACTTGACAACGCTGATAACAACCTTGTTGAAACTTAGTTAGGGGTTCGTTATATGTTGAAATTTAGTTGCTAATAGTAAAATATAGACGTTTAGTTCGAAATTAGTTAATGGTTTGAATGTTAGCCACAAACAAATCAAAGGTGGCATAAGACGGTTCAAACGTCATCTTGTTGGTGGATTTTGGGATGTCACAAAGTGTCCAAATACAACAACAAAGATATCTAAAGGAAAGCATAAGTATTTGAAGAAGAACAAGAGGAAAAAATCCACGTTGGTTTTTGAAGATGATCATGAAGTTGGTGATGACAATATGAATGTGGATGATATGCCTATGGTTCCTCTATAGCTTCAAATTCTTCCATTACCTTACCAAGTTCGGGTACAAATGGCAAACACAAGCAAGCTTCCCTTAAGTTTACTCAACCACAATTACAATCTTTTGCTTGTATGGTAAGAAAGATGTCCGAAGAAGTTGTTGAGCAAAGACATACAAAGGGCTCAACTCAAAGAATGATGGAACAATCTGTCAAAAGTAAAGTAAAGTAAAGAAGAGCACGAGCGGGTTCATATGCATATTAATGATTTTTTCATCGAGAATGGGATACCATATAATGCTATTAATTCCAGAAGTTTTGAGATTATAATAGAATCAATTGAGCAATAGGGGCCTAGATTGAGACCACCATTGTATCATGAGTCACGTGCACCATTTCTTCAGAAAGCAAAAGAAGAGACCATGAAGTTGAAAAAGAAGCATGAAAAAGTTTGGTCAAAAAATGGTTGTATGCATATGTCAGATGGGTGGACAGACACAAGAGGTTGGCATTTAATAAATTTTCTTGCAAATAGTCCTCAAGTGACTTTTTTTAAAGGCTCGGTTGATGCTTCAACGCAGGTGAATGATGCAAGTATGTTAGCTGATTTATTGGAAGAGAATAACGAAATTGGAAGAGGCAAAGTTGTTCAAGTAGTAACTGATAATGGTTCCTATTACAAAGCCGCTAGAAAAATACTTGAGTCTCGTATTCCTAGGCTCTTTTGGACACCTTGTGCAGCCCACTGTTTGAATCTAATGTTGGAATACATGTAAGACTTCATGCTGCATTGAGAGAAAAAACCAATGGGAAGAAAATTGTTCGACCCAGAGTTACAGGATTTACCACGACTTTCCTCACTTTACAGAGTATGTAGAAGCACAATAATGCATTGAGAAGCCTCTTTGTTAGTGAAGATTGGAGTAAATCTTAGCTAGCAAATACAGAGGCAGGAAAAAAGGTATGTGACTTTGTACTTTCTTCTAGGTTCTGGAGATGGTAGAGGATTGTTTAAGGGCATCACTACATCTTTTAATCGTGTTGAGAATTGTCGATGGAGATGAGCGTCCTGCCATGACAGAGGTGATAAGAGCTATGAGTGTTGCTAAGAATAAAATTAAAGAGTCATTTTCCAACAAACCGATGCTCGAAAAAGAAGTGATAGACATTATTGAGAAGCGATGGGTGAATCAAATAGAGCAAAAAATATATGCAGCTGCATATTTTTAAAATCATGGGAAATATTTTTTGCTCAAAGACAAGGATGAAACATATGCATCTAGGCTTCAGGTCTTGTTTAATGAGATCGTAGAAAAATGACAATATGTGATGACTGCTTGCAAATTAAGATAATCCAGCAAGTGGGTCAATCCGATGAAGTAAAAGGAGGCTTTGCAAAGAAAATACCAATTAAGCAACGAACGCTCAAGTCCCCACGTAAGTATTTTAAAAAAATTAATGTTGTGGGAAGTAAAATAAACTTTAATGATTTTTTATGCTTTATTTAACTTTTCCAGTTGATTGGTGGAATTCGTTTGTTAGATATACTCCAGAGCTCCTAACATTTGCTAGAAGAATAATTGGTCTTTGTTGAACTTCATCTGGGCGTGTATGTAATTAAAGTACTTTTTTGTTTGTAAGTAATCAAAATTTAATATTTTGTTTGGAAGTTAGTCCATTCATTATTATACTTTCACACTAACAAATCATGCTCGTATTAAAGTCCATGCATTATTTACTCATATTTAGTCATTTACCACGGGAACAAAAAGATTGATGATTATGTCTTTTAACATATTGAAATGGAGGATGGAGGGGAAGCTCACCTCTTTGGTGTTTTGTGATATGAAAGTGTCACCCAGCTGGTTCAAGTGAGTGGTGCTTAGACCTGCATTGCAGTGTGGGACACAATTTTAGTAGTCAAGTATGCTCATGTTTAGAGGATAAAGTCATCGGAGACAAATGATCAAATGAATGTGTGTTATAGTATCATACAATCCATGACAAAGATTAGAAACAAAGGTTATTTGGTAGATGGTCGAAGTAGCCTTTGCGGTGGATAAGATGACAGAAGTGAGGCTGCGACGGTTCGCAGTGTGAAGCGGAGAGGCGAGGGTGTACCTCTTTGAGGGGCGCGATTAACAATTGCGTGATTCACAAGAGCTAGAAGTAGGCCGATGTTAATCAACAAGGCATGGCTAAACACAAGTTGAACGATGACATGACCATGGATACAGAGTTTTTGTAGTGGATTATGATGGGTGGGTTGCTGGTTGTTTAGTGTATGTTGCTCTTGTTTGAGAGGTGGGGGTTAGTCCTTCCATATTATTTTCTCGTGTTCAGTGGTTTTAAGGGTGGGCTGGTGGCGGTAGATTTTTATTCTTATGTGCACAGTGCACTTGAATGTGCTGGGAAATAGCCTCTCCACTCATGGGTGTAGGTAAGGCCTGCGTACATCTTACCCTCCTTGATCACCACCTGTGGGAGGTTTGTTGTTGTAGGGATCTAGTGTAGAACACTAATGACACATGTATTGGTCAACAAGCACACTTTGGAAGCATCATAGTACAAACACACCTTATACACTCAACATAACTTCTATTTTTTGTTAGGAATTGATTATATAACACATTAAGTTATTAACACATATTATAACTCAACATCACTAATGACACATGCTTTATGCATAGGTTAACGAGGTCATGTTGCTGTTCACTTGAAGATGTGAATATATAACTGTATTATTATCAGTTTGTGCTGGGAATTGTAGGCTAGTACGGTTATTCAATCATGTCCTTTTGGTCCTATACCTTTTTGCGTGTTCATCATGTTGATCATGGTTGTGCTTTTGTATTTTAACGCTCGCGCAGGATTTCATCCCCTTGAGGAGTTGTATTATAAGACTTGGCTCCACAGGTATAACAGTTGCATCTCCTATTTTTGAAAGTCTTTTGGTGATGATTTATTTCACTTGGATAGATAGTACAATCATCATGAAATGCTACTGCTAATGTTTGACATGATGTAATATATGCTAATCCAAAAAGTTTTACCACTATATCTTTTAGACTCTATATTTGATCTTTTAAGAATCAGAATACTGATTAACTGAAGCATATATAGGGAGCAGTGATATCAATGAAGCTAATTACGCCTGACATCATTTTCACGTATTTGGTAACACTCTTTTTACTGATATATGTTGTGAATGCAGTGGGCAGCGAGTTGTTATACAGGAGAGTATCGAGAACCAGAATGAGTTTGTAGAGAATGTAGTCACTATTCAGGTAATTTAGCTCTAATTATTTTCTGAGATAAATTAATAATTGTGGACACATTTGGTTTTATTTATTCCTTTGGCCAATTTTGATTCTTACAACCAGCTATACAAGAATTAGCTGATTCTGGAGAATAAGTAGTTGATTGTTTCTAAGAATCACATTGTGGTGAGCAATAGCTAACTCTACTTAGAACCTGAAAAAAATACAATGCCAATTGCTTTCAGCTGATTCTAAGACTCAGAACTGTAGACCCAACTGAAAGAAATAAGCAAAAATGAGCTCTTTATGAGATGAAACACCTTTCTATTAAGTTTGGTTATCAGAATCTCATTGAAAATTTGGAATTTGAGGCAAACTCTATACTTCTGATCCCAATAAAACTCTTATCACTAAACATCATCATTTCAAAATCCACAAAAATAAACAAAATTTTGAATCAACTCTCTCTCTCTCTCTCTCTCTCCCTCTTCCCCTCCCCTCTCTCTCTCTCTCCATCCCTCCCTCCCTCCCACACACACCCTCCTCAAAGATGCATCACAGTTAGCCCATAATTCACTATCCCTTCTTACTCTTTGTATCTGCTTTAGACATTAGAGGCCTTCAAACACTGATGTCAATAGGCCAACCACTCCCTCCGCTGCAACTACCACTATCACGAAGGAATGGCAGGAAAGTTTTCAAAATTAAACTCCTAGGTCTCGGTGGGTTTGCATCATAACGGAATGGTGAACTGTGAACATAATATCACCAAGTTTACTAGATATCCTTTTCTGACGAACACTAGGAAGAATCTAGAGGGGTTTAAACATACTGGCCTTGTTTGGATGTTGGTTGTCAGCTGTTGGCAGTCAGCTGTTGTAAATGGCTTTTTAGTTCAGCTGGTTTGACCGACAGGATGAAATGGCTGATCGTTAAAAATGTTTGGTAAAATTAGCTGTTTGAAAATAGTTGTTCATAAGAAATTATTAATATACAACTTTTTAATGACCGACAGGATGAAATGGAGTATTAAATTTTACTTTCATTTAATTCATAAGAAATTATTAATATACAACTTTTTAATGATTTTTACTTTTTATATTCTCATTTCATTTTTTTGAAATTTTTAATTTTTAAATTTTATTTTTTTAGTATTAAATTTTTTTAACTTTTATTTTTATTTTTTACATATATTATAAAATATCTTTCACGACAAATCCTAACAGCCAAGTCCAAAATCTACTCCCCTTGGCATTTCAGATTTTGGCTTTTCGGATCAAAATGCCAAGTGAAAAAGCCATTAGCCAAACAATGGTTTTGGCTGTTCGCTCAGTCAAAAAAGCCAATGTTAGTCAAACATGCCAATAGCTATCCGAAAAGCTGTTTTCCAAACACGGCCACCTACTACCATTGTTTCCGCTCAGGCTTTGATCTCACTATTAAAAAGAAAACTGATTATTTGATCTTATGAAGTTCAACCTGTCATAGATGTAAGCATTGGCCGTGGAATAAGAACTCCCTTTTGGTGTTTGAGCTGCATAATGTTTAAAAGGTGGCTAAATATGTTTTAGGTGGTATTTGACCGCCATGATTTTTCACGGGTGTAAAGAGATGCTGCTCCCATTGTTCAGGTTGTAGTGATCGAGGCAGAGGCTTTGTTAACAAGTTTTTTTTATAAATAAAAAGTATTACGTATGTCGGGTAGAGTATATGAAGAGAGAAGCTGAGAAATTGGGGATTATATGATCATTAGTGAATAGGATGAAGAAGAAGAAATGTAGAGATCCTGAAATATAGAAGTTATGTGGCAAAGCAGTGTTATAGCATTAAAATGAGATGCAAGATTTTGAGAGTGAAGGTTGATAGTATTTAATTGATAATCAGAAAAGACTTGTTATTATTCATCACAAAGAATATAAATAGCCATCCCAATCAGTAACTTAGTAAGATTACTAGATTACCTAATGCAAAAAGGAAACATTATTCTTAGGAAATAAGCATAATAAAGAATATTAAATAAACTCCTGCTTAAGCTGCACTTCGGGGATTGTGCCACGGCAAGTGAGCTCTTTGGCGCAACTGCAGCCCCTCTAGAATATACAATGTACACATTTCATGTTGAGACTGAGTTCTAGATGAAGTTGTAAAGAGCATCCACAATTGCTTTTAGCTTCGTCAAAAACTCAATCTCAACAAGAAATGTTTACATTGTATATTCAAGTTCGGATAACAGCAAATGGGGTATATGAATAGGATAGGTTAAGATAGACATGTTTGAAAAACAAAAATCTTTCAGATGAGTAAAGATTTTCTTCAAGAACCAGAGCTTTTTTCCTCATTTGGCGAATTGGCGCATCTTCTTCAACGCGTGGCTCAGCTTCCAACGCCCATCACCTACCTGGCCCATCACACCCACACATGCCCTGCGTTCTTGGGGGCCATGCTTTCCTGCATTCTTGAAGGACCGCGCCTGCCTCTCATTTTTGGGAGCTCGCGCCTCCCCATTGTCATTCGGTTGGGGCCTCAAGCTTGCTGCGCGTTCTTGGGGACTCATCATTTCTGTAGAAAAAAATTAAAAAGCATGACATATTAGTTTAAGGACTTGTAAAAGAAAGATGATATGTCTCAATCATTTTAAGGAAAAAATTAAAAAGCATTACATTTTTAGAAATTTTGATTTGAAAGTTTTGTTATTTCCCAAACACTAGAACTGAACTAGAATGTTTTAAATCATAAAATTGATTACGTGTCAATTCGGTTCATGTCCGTTCTGCAATTTGATTAGGTGTCACAACTTCACAAGTGCCTTTTCCAATTTGATTAGGTGTGATAAGTGCCTTTTCCGATTTGTTTTCCATTATTTTCTGTTATTAGGGCTTATCACCAACAGGTTACTTATTAGCCATAACTGATGATGGTCAAACATGGGAACTTCATCCAGATGGTAACAGGTATAATTTCATCTCATTTTTTGTCATCAGTTGTGATTTTAAGTTCTGAGCAGAAACTGTAGGTCCTCTATTCCGTTCAATAATACCTCTTCAAGGACCCACTGTCTGTACTAAAATCAAAGTTTCAGCTTTATTTTAAAATACACAACTTTATTATATCCTCCTAGGATGATCTGAAGATTTTAATTCCTAGGGCTTCCTTATGGTGATTTTTGGTATGGGGAAAAGAATTGATGAAAGAGAATCAGTGATCTCATTTCTCTTGGTATACAAACTAGTACAAAAGCCCTACATATAATAGCTAAATACAATGACTTAAGTGATGGCTTAAGCATAAACGACCTAAACGTTGAAGTAATCTAAATAACTTACGTAATGAAGCAGTCTATTCTAGAAGCGTTCTCCAAACCACTTTTCTTACAAAAGCTCAATTTGGGTCTTACAAATTATATGCACCAAGCTTGATACAAATATATTTTATTCTAGGACTTCTAAGAAATTTGTCAACATCTGTGAAAGAGTTGATATTCTGTCTTGATGTTACTAGTAATACCATGTCATTTTCAAAGTGTTGTCTTCTCATAGATGCTAGTTGGATGTGATATGTCATACTCCCTCCGTCCCCGAGTATTTGTGCACTTTTGTCTTTATTTTGGTCAAAATTGGCAAACTTTAACCTCAAATTAAATAACAGTGATATTTTATATTGATACAAAAATAATTTCATTAGATTTATTTTATAAAATATTATCAAAATATTATTTATGTAATTATTATACACTATATTTTATTTTATTATAGGTCCAAGGTTGAAAATAGTTGACTGCAAAAAGTTAAAGTTGGACAAATACTCAGGGACGAGATACTATGTATTAAAGAGTACAACTTGATTGTCACACATTAAATGTATGTGATCTTTGCTTGATTGCTTCATAATTTAACTCATGAATGGATGTTTTAGCAACCAAATATAGCATGCCGGAAGAGCCATTGCCGCATATCTTGCCTCTGCGTTTGATCTTGAGACCACACTCTGTTTCTTGATTTATAAGGAGATTAAGGTTCTAACATAATGAATACAACATCCTGAAATGCATCATCTATCTCTAGGACAACCAGTCTAATCAACATCATAGTATCTAACAATTTTATTATGCCCTTCTTCATAGAGAAATTGGGTATTATTTCAATGATCACCATAATTTTTATCAAGAAATTGGCTTAGTGCACTAATAGCAACTGAAATTTGCATCATGATGATGAGATAATTCAGTTTTCCATCTAATCACCTTTATTTCCCCTCCCAATGGAGTGGTGCCCCCTGTATTAGAAGAAGTTTGAGGTTGGGTTCTGTACAATGTTCGAAATTGCGTATTGCGGTTTCGAGGCGTTTTCTTTTCATAGCGTATTGCGTAAGCCTCGAGGCGTATCCAATGGTCTACTGCCCAACTTACCTCTTTCTTTAAGAACATCTAAACATATTTTCTTTGGGGGAGAATGACACTACAGTTAGATTTGGCAATCTCAATAAGCACTGTGTTAGAAACGACCAGATCAAAGCAAAGTAGAATATTTTATTGTTGTGAACTGTTACAGGATTCCTTGTGTTCTCTAAATATAAATAGAGAACAAACCAACACGACTTTTACTAACCAACACAACTATTACAAACCAACACACCTATTAACATTAGAAACTACCCATAATTGCTTTTAGAAACTACCCAACTGTTTTTTATAAATTAATTAAATATGTAAAACACACTAACCGACACCATACCAACCGACCCGAACATTGACTCATTACCCATTTGGTTATATGTGAACAAACCCGTTTAAATCTAACAATCACACCTCTAATCGTTGTTTGTTCACACTAATCTTCAATCAAATTTGCAATGTGTTCGTTTTGATCCCATTTTAGACATTCATTCAGAAAAAGCCTTAGCTCATTGCACTTAAAACACTTAATGTCTCTTATCCCGCTGAAACCGACCACCATCCTGACATTTCCTGGACCCCGACCTCTACCTCGGCCACGTCCAAAGTCTTCTCGGTTTGAGCTCCCGCAACCACAATGCTCACATTTGTGCTCCTTAACCTTCTCTTTTCCATCACCTTTAGTGAATAGTAGTTTACCTTGCGTATCTTCTTCCTCGGTTGGCTTTTTGATGCGTTCCTCGAATGCTTTCAATCTTCCAACTGCTTTTTGAAATGACATTATTTTAATGTCGGCAAACTATTCAATTGCAGCAACTATGAACTTTTCTGGCACAGAACCCAAAAGCTTTCAAACTCATCTTTTGTCTTCAAACGCAGACCCAAGGTACCTTGCTTGTGTTGCAAGTTGACTAGTTTTACCAGCAAAATCATCAAGTGACTCATTGTTCTTCATCTTTAGAGTCTCAAAATCTGATTCGAGTGTAATCGCGCCGCTTTAACCCTACCAACACCAACAAAGCGAGTCTTCTGAGCTCTTGTAACACGATCTCTTCCGACAAAGCTTGAAACAGATATGCGATTGCCATATTGTTCTTCTTTGGATCAATTTTTGTTCCTGGTTCGATACCTCCCAAATCCTATTAACATTAAAAAATTGCTTTGATCTTCACGGCCCAAATAGTGTAGTTTGTAGCAGTTAGAATTGGAACCTTAAAAGATAGAGAACTACTCTCCCTTGTAGTCACAATGTGTCTGTTGTCTTCCATTGCACGACTTTAATTCCTTTGATAAATTTCACAAAATTCTTAGACTTTGATTCTTTCCTGGGTCGTAAGCCACATGCAATCGACCATCAACGAGAAAACAAGCCCCTGCTTTTCTGTATTCCAAGCCGCTAAAAAAAAGCTATCCTGCTGATTCGTTTTTCCAGCACCTTTTGGTTGGAATACTTCTGCCCAAGAAAAAAACTAGCAACTTAGATGTTCTTATTCTAGGCGAGGAAGAAATCTAGTCAAAGATTTTTTTATCTATTGTCGAGGAAGTTGAAATGCTCTGTTTTATGATCTGGCCGATCCCTTTTGCTGTAGATCGCAGTTCACACCGCTCCGATACCAATTGTCAGAAAATACCAAATCAAAGCAAAGTAGAATATTTTATTGTTGTGAATTGTTACAGGATTCACTGTGTTCTCTAAATATAAATAGAGAACAAACCAACACGACTTTTACTAACCAACACAACTATTACAAACCAACACACCTATTAACATTATAAACTACCCATAACTACTTTTAGAAATTACCCAACTGTTTTTTTTAAATTAATTAATTATGTATAGCACACTACCGACACCATGCTAACTGACCCGAACATTGACTCATTACCCATTTAGTTATATGTGAACAAACCCGATTAAATCTAACACACCAGAGCATTTTCAAATCTATAGTTTAAGATTTGCTTAATAGATATTTTTTGATGTGAGCAATGCTTTCTAGATGACTACTTTTAATGATAAGATCATCATCATTTTCTACGACGTAAAGGCACTTGCTTCGACCAACTATTAACCTTATAGGGAGCATCCCCTCAGCTAGGATCGTAAACATATCAAATACTTTTCACTCGATTCGTGATTCATGTTCGAATATAACGATTTGAAGTCGCATAATTCAAATACAAATAAACATTCAAAATGAGTTTTGATTTGAATATTAAAACAAACTCAAATATAGATACAAATACCAATAGAGTCGTATCCGATTCAGATGATATTTGAATATGTGTGTGTGTGTATGGATGAGCGTTTGTGTATACACACACCATTTGCTCAAAATCAGTAGTCAAACAAACTAATATAGAAAAGTACATTTAAATTACTAAAATTTGGTCAAATCAAGATGTAACATAAAACTCTAAAGTACTTTGTATATAATTTTCAATACTTATATTTTATAAAATGCAGAGTATAACTTGTGTAAGACACAAATCTATTAATGTTTTTAGGTATAGTATAAGAAATCATGTATGTTAAATTATTCAAAATCGATGTCGGTCCGTCATTTCAATTTTGATTATTTGAATATTCGTTTAGGATTAGTTAAATATTCGAATATTAATTAGATACAAATTCAGATCTTATTTGAAATTCGTTTCAAATTCGGATTCGTATTCATAAAAACCAAATACCATTTCAAATATCCTTGCATTCAATTCGATTTGGTTCGTTTACAACCCTACCCTTAGTTATCCTTTCACTTCGCAGCAGTTCTCACCTCAGCAAGTCGAGAACTCATGGGTTGGACGACCAAGGCATGTTCCTGAAGACTTAGTCTAAGTTATTTTGAGAGAGGTTTAATTGGCTGATGGCGTGGGAACATTACAAAGATGCATTTTTTTTAGTTTAGACGCATATATTAATTTTATACCATAATATTGTTATTAGTATGAAATATTACTACTATTTTATGTATTGATATTACTATTAATTTTATACCATAGTTGTATTGTTATTACTACTACTATTCTCTACGTACGCCTCTCAACTCGGTGAGATTCTATGAAGTTAGTATTGTTGTTGTTGTACAACAACAATAACTACTACTACTATAACTCGTACTGTTGATTATCTAACATTGTTAGATATTATTGGTATTAATATAGTTAGAGTAGTGATTAGCTACTATAGTTAGAAAGTTTCTAATTCCTAATTAATGTGCTCTTTTAGTTTTTGTGTTCAAATGAATAATGAAAGGCATGAGTGCTAATGGGTGTGGTACTGGTTGTGGTTGTGGTTAGAGTTGTAGTGATATTCAAGACTAATAAAATACTGGCATGAAATTATTACGGAGTAATACTTAATATTTAATCGGCATCTCTATGAAGTCCTCTCTATCTTCCAATTGATGGTCCCTTCCTAAATCTTCTTGATGATCATGTGCAAGTAGACACGCATCAGTCATGTTATGTGTTCCTAGACCAATTTGCTCCCAGCAGATCAGGAGCCCGATGTACTCGACTGCCCAATGGGCACTTAGCGCTTTCTCCAACATCAGTATACCCCATTTAGCCTTTGGATGATTTTTGCCTCCTCTCGATTTGTTACATTGAAGTTAGGACTCCGTTGCAATTTTAATTTATGTAAAAAATAGAGTTTCTGTAAAACGTTTGGTGCATTGCTCCATTTTATTCTCATTTATAGGAATGTAAGAAGCAATTGAAGTTAAATGAGTAGTTTTGCTTTTGCTCATTATTTATCCTAAGCTAAAGCGTTGTCAATAATGAGTTTTTACATCTTTTCTTAAATACGGAGTACCTTTTTTGTGTTTAGTAGAACTGTAGAACATTCATCGTAGTCTTTTATATACTCCCTTTGTCCCCAAATTATATTCACACTTACCTTTTTCGTCCATCTCAAAATAAAATTTTTACTTCTCCACTTTCCTTCTCAGGAATAGAATATGTGTCTCTTCGAAATAAATTACAAACATACACTTCTTACCATTCTACACTTTCTTAGACTTTGAGTAGTCAAACCATGAGTTTAATTTGGGGATGGAGGGAGCATTCATTTTGCTGGAAACAGCTATAACTTCGTACTACGGAACAAGTTATAAATATTTATAGTCAAAGCATATCTCAGCTGTGATGGAGATTATTATATGTAAATATGTTTCCTTTTATTTTATATAACCAAACCATAAATAGTGCTGCATTGTGATTCCAAAGTTGTGTTTTAGAAAATCAATAATGTATTTCTGATTGTTACGAACAATAATGTGTTTTAGAAAACTGGCTTGTTGAATTCCAGATTTAGAACCATTTTATTTTGTTGGCTTAAACCAACACTTTTTGTACTGCAGCTTAGACTTCTTCAAGGGACTTGTGAAAAGGAAACTCGGCTGATAAAGAACTAAATATTCTTCAGCACCATTCACAGGTATTTCTGATTCGTTTACACTGTTTGGTTTGAAGAACTCAGAAAAAGGGAAAACAATTTTGGTGTTTGGTTAGAAAGTAAAAGAAAAGAAAATTGGGAGGCAAGGAAAATGCAATATAAAATTATAAATGTGGTTTTCCTTCCATTTTGTGAGGAAAAAGGGAGGAAATTATCAAACTCCACGTTCCCCTTCCCCCACCCACCCTCGCCTCTTCCCTCGCCCCCACCAGTCGCCACCCCCGACCTCCCCCTTCTTTCATTTTGAACAATGTCTTTTTGTTTTCTCTACAAAATTCAAACAAAGAATTTATTGGGGAAAAAAATCTCGCCAATTTCCCTACAAACCAAACAAGATTAAGAATTTTGCTTTCTTTGACATTATTTCCCTTTAGCATTATTTCCCTTTCTTCCATAATTCCACGTACCGAGCATAGTGTTGGTGTGTGTTTTTCCAGTTAAGCTGAGTCCAAAGGGGAGCCTTGGTGCACAAGTTGAGTGCCCTCAAAGCAGTCTCTTACAAAAAATGCCGAGTAAAGTTTTGCTTATATTCCACCCTTGTGGTGAACTAAGGACGCGCCCTATACGCCAAATTCTCCTTTTTATTAGAGTGCTTTCATAATGGAATTAACTTTTTATTAGAATGCTGTCATAATCGAATCAAATTTTGTCATGACATATAAACATTCAAATCAAGTTCTCCTTTTGACATATGTGCCATTCAAAATATTTACTTCATTGATCATGATTATTATTGTTAGGTGGGGTTATATCCATTCCCTATTTTGTCAAGGATAGAAAGCTGGTGAGAGAGTCTATTGCACCGTGGTTTGGTAAATATATATACCCTTCCCCCTCATGGTTTCAATACTTATATCATTGCCTTCATGGTTATGATATAATCTGACGCCAATTTCTAGGCTAAAATATTTTTTAAATATTAGGTGAATAGTTCTGTTGCATTCTGTGATTTTGGAAATGGATTAAATCCCACATCTCTTTTTTTGTTTTTCTTTAGTTTTTTTCATTTTTTCATAAATGTATTTAAAATTCTTTTTAAAAACTATTTTTATAATATTTTAAAATTATTTTTTTGTGGTTAAAATGAAAATCAGCGAAATAAAAAGAATTAATGTACACTTCATTTGTATGGAATTATACATTTTCATATTTAATCTCAAAAAAATTCTTATTGATTAATTTTCATGCAAAAAAATTAATGAAACATTTTCTCTTTTTTCGCAAGGGAAGTTTGATATATAAAAAAAATTAATTTATGAAGGAAATCTGTTGGGGATCGATTCAAAAAATGTTATGAATTATAATTGACCAAGTATAAAAACATTACTTTGTATTCTTTTTTCCCAATGTATTTTAAAAATAAGAATATTTTGTTACAAAAGATACAAATACATTAAATTTTTTATGTCCATCATAAATAATTTTTATTATTAAAAAAATTTTAAAAAAAATTGAAAAATAACTTACAGACGTCTATAAAAAAGAAGAAGAAAAAACAATAAAGAAAATTGGATAGGGGGTGTTTTAATTTAGAGGGGCATTATCGTAGGAATATCATTATCACAAGAGATAATGATTGTAAGATTTGTAACCATGAGGGGCAACAATGCATTTACTAAACTGCAGGGTATTGATTAGGGGTGTTCATCGGGTCAAACATAGACCGAATCGGGACCGGACCGGGATCGAATAAGAGGAACTTTGTGGACCGAGGACCGGACCGCTTAAGGTAAGGACCGGCCCGGGACCGGACCGGTAAAACCCGGACCGGACCGGGACCGGACCGAATAAATGTAATTTTTTTTTAAATTTGGTTTTATTTATTTAATTTAAAGTTTTTAATTGTAAAAAAATATTACTACAATTAATTTTTCATTTGTAACATACACTAAACATTTTCAAACATTGATGTTTTTATTTTTTTTAAACTTTAAATAAAATATATATCCTTCATCCATATTACATAAAATTTGTTTGTAATTTTTATTTTACATATAGAATATTCTTCTTCTTACTATGTTTTTACTTTTTTGTAATATTTTTTTTGTGTTTTTGGTTTTTTTAAAAAAAGGATACATTTTTTTTACTGTTTTTGTTCATAAGATTGTTTACAATATTTTTTTGTTGATTGGAGTTTTATTAATGATAAAGTACAAACTTAAGTTATAGTATTGATACATTAATTTGAAATGCATTATATCGCTTATGTAAAGATAATGTTTACTTTTTTTACACTTTTCATGTTAAAAATATTTAAATATCATTAGAATTAATATCTTATTTTGAATTGGAATATATTAAAAAAAATTATATTAAATAATAAAATCAAAATATTTTAAAAGCTTTTAGTATTAAAGTTAAATTAATTTTAAGTATAAGAAAAAAAACTTTAAAACTATATTAGAAAACTATATAAAAAACAAATATTTAAAAAAATAAATAAAATGTAATCGGTCCACCGGTCCGGACCGAAACCCGGTGGACCGGACCGGACCGGAACCCGATTAGGAAAATGTGAGGATCGAAGACCGACCGAATAAGGACCGGTCCGGTCCGGTTTTGGCCGGGTTTCGGGTCGGTCCGGGTTCGGACCGAATAATGCACACCTCTAGTATTGATGTAATATACTTATTGGTGAGAATATCCTATTTTACTATTTCCCCCTCGGCCAATCTCATATTCATGTCGTCCTGTGAGTGTGAGCTGTAAACCTAAGACCTATTAAGATTTTAAATCCTGGGAAAAGCGGCGTGATTTGTCGCGGCAACACCACACCACATAGGCGTCACTCGCAGAGAATACAGCCACCCTTGTGAGGGCGATGCGTGACTATTATGTCTATTGTGTGATAACCACATAAGGAGAGGAGTGGCTCCGCATTAGATTTCATAATTGATCTTTTATAACATGTGAGTTTTCATATTTAGTCTTTTATTATCAAATATTACTCTCGTAGTCTGTTTTTATGGTGCATTTCTACAAATAGTCCTTTTTTGATCTTTTGTCATGTTGGTGTTAATTTAAAATCTAATAGTATAATTTGACATCAACTTTATGTCTAGTGACGTATTTTCATATTGGTTAGAAGAATAACACAAAAATAATGACTATGATTGTGAGCTAGGATTCCGACGAAAAATCACATCTATACACTATGGTTGTAGTAGAAAGTGGTTGTAATTCACAAACGTCGCATCAAGAGCGGCCTTTGAAATTGTGTATGACAAGAAAGATATATTATCATTGTGAAATTACATTTTTAGAGCGCAAATAAACACCAACATGATAGAAGATCAAAAAAGGACTATACGTGGAAAGATACTCATAAAAGAAAAACCGTCAGGGTAATATTTGATAATAGAGGACTAACTAAAAAACTCTCTGTCATAAAGGACCAATTGCGGAATTTACTCTTTAATTAATTACGCTCTCCGTCCGATATTGGATGTCACACTCCGAACAATGTGTAAATTCCTATTATTTTTAAAATCATTTTAAATACAAATTAATATAGAAATATAGAATTAAAAAGTATAAATTATGTCATTTAAAATATATATAAAAAATTATATAAAACAAGAGGTGACATGAATATTTAATGTTATCACAATTATCAATAAAAATATACAAACAAAAAAAATTATCGAAAGGTCGTAAAAGTGACATGGTATTCATTTCGGGACGGTGGAAGTAATTTTTATTATAAAGTTATTTTTTATAATTTTTTTCTGCAATGTATATTATGTCAAAAATGTTTTATATTTGAGTCATTATTTTACAAATAATATGTCATAAAAAATATTTTCACAAAATCTACCTAATTACAACATTTTTGCATATATAATTCTGACATTATAGATTTTTTCGTCTATACACTTTTAAATTGAACAAATTATGTTTTATTGTTATTCATTTTGGAATGAAACACATTTTAAATATAAATTATGTTTCACTTATATTTTTGCCTGAACATTTCAAATTGAATAAACTGTGTTTTTTAATGAACAAATTTTAATTATAAATTATATTATCATGGTTTTTTCTTTTAAATTAAACTTGTTAATTTTTTTTGTTTTCTGTCGTGCTATAAAAAAAAGTAAACTAAAAATAGGTACAAAATTATTCTCAATTCTATAAAACGAGTTGTGCTTCCGTGGTTCTAAGATTCACATTAGAAATATGGACTTTTTCGTACTTTTCATACGCTCANTCTCTCTGTGTATTATTTCAAAAATAAAAACATGGACTAATATAATGATCCTATGATAAAAAAAACTAATTTAAAAATATTAAAAATACAATGGTTCTTCTTCCCTGCATTAATAAAAAATGTTAATATAATAACCATATTAATTGTCCTATGATTCCAAAGGAAATTTACAAAAATATTTGACAGTTTTGTATTCAATTTTTTTGTTTACTTTTTAATACAAAATCGATCAAGCCTAAGAAGTATTCTGGTCACTACAAAATATTTTATCAAAATACAAGAGTTCTAAATTTGAAAAATAATCTCTCTTTGATGTTGTATTTGAGTCTCGATCTTATTCGCTTCTGCACCTTGAATCTTCTCCACAATTTTCACTTGCTTAAATCTTTTTTGGGAACAAATCCAAACCAAAAAGTGTATGAATTAATTCAGAGGAATATATGGGTATTAAAATATTTTTGAAAAGCTTTGGTTCATAGATTAGTACGAAAAGTATGTGTATCATTTAAGGGCACTGCGGTGCTCCGTTTGTAAAATTGATAATTCATATCTCTAACTTCTAGTAAGCCCCCACCCGCCCAGACCCGAATCCACTATCCATCCCTTTAAGTGCACCCCTTAAATTAAGTTGATTTTGAAATAAAAAAATTGAGGGGGGGTTGTGGGGTGGGTTCGCTTCGGGGTAGTCGGGCCAGGGATTCTAATGACATTGGAACCTCATGTTATGGGATGACCTGGAAGCGCTTCGGTGTCCCGTTTGTAAAATTGACGGTTCTTCCCTCGATAAACCCTCGCCCTACCCGAACACACTCCCCCACCACCTTCAATTGCACCTCCAAGTTATTTTTGACTTTGGAATCAAAATTGACTCTAAAGGCAAAATTAACTTGGAGGGTGCAATTGACGGGAGTGGGGGTGTGTTTGGATCGGGACAGGATGAGAGGTTTACCGAGAGATTAAGGGGGTAGCGACTGTCAATTTTACGAACGGGACACAAGAGCGACCCGAGTCATCCCATAACATTGTCAGGTGATGTTATGGGAACCGCCCCGTAAATAAATACTCCATTTTAACTTTTGGTCCCCAACCGATTCATCCTTGGGGACGGATGCCTTGCAGATGGACAAAAGATGCCTTCATCAATGCGGCATGCCAGGCAAATGATCGCCAAGTTAGCTCCGGGGAAGCATTGGAGGGAGTCTTACCATTAAGAAGTTTCCTTGGATTAGAGTAGGTCTCCTATTTTAGTACTCCGTATTAGGACTTCTGCCCTAACCATTTGTATAATCAAATTTTCAACTTTTAATTATTTAGGACTATCTTAGTGTTTTAATGAGATTCACGTGATTTGTGATTGTTTTGTTTGAGACGCTAGTATTTCTTGATCAGATAACATGTGGTGGATGTGGATGGAATAGAGTTTCAAGATCCATTAATGACTATCACACCAATATGTTGAATATGTATCCTTTGGCATGGTACCACTGGAAAGTGGAAAAAGCTCGTGATTTTTTCACGATTAGAATTTCCACATAAATATCTATGTGTTCATATTATTCGATTCAATATTCATATTGAATGAAATTCCCACGAGTGAATCGTCTATGTCGTTTGATTAATGTTCCATATCAAAAAGTTAGATTTTTTTAACATCTACAGACTACAAAGAGAAGATTATATTAGTAAGATTTCAAAAATGATTAGCACAACATCTACGGTTATTTTCATTTCTGTAACATAACATTCATAATTTCTAGTAATAATAAGTTATTCTCAACTATTTAAATTTCTTCTTTTACATTTTTTATGTATTAGTAAATAGATTCTCTTGTTTCGTAAAGCAAATAAATCTAGAATAAGAATTATTTGGTGTATATACCCTCTGTCCCAAAATAAAATTCTTCATTTCCTTTTCGAAACATCCCAAAAGTACTCTTTCTTTTCAGTTTTAAATTTTTTTTTGTGACTCACATAATTTTACTTTATTAAATTTTGTAGCAAACTAAATTGAGGGCCCTTTTTGGAATGAAGGGATTACATTAATACACTTTGTACCAAACTAAATTCGTCTGATTTAGAACCAAAAGGAAATTTATGGGACACAGGGTGTAATTATATGGAAAGAAATAACCTTAAATAAGAGTAAAACATAGATAAAGTATCAAAATAAAAAGTCAATTTTTTATCCTCAAAATAGAAGTTTGCATTCTGGTAATATGACACTGTATAACTCACAATAGTTTTTGGTAATGTAGATGGTCATGATTGACACTCTAAATACATTTTAATTCCTATTTCGAGAATAAAAATATTGAAATTATAATTTAATATATTTTCAATATTTTATTTCTACTTTAATATTTTTCTTAAAAAATACTCCCTCCGTCTCGAAATAGATTACAATATTCCCTCACATTTTTGTCCCAAAAAGGATTACAAAGTCAATAACTTTATAATGGTTTGACTCTTTTACCCTCCCATTTTCTTTTCTGCCAGCCACTATTCACACTATTTGGGGGGATTTGGGGGGTAATTTGAGAAAAAAAAATTTGATTTGACTCTTCCTTAATTTCAACTAAAAGTGAATATTGTAATCTAAAGTGGGACGGAGGGAGTATTAAAAGACAATAAAATTATTGTAACAATTTTAACTTGAATTTGAATCAGATCATATTAGATCTATTCAGAATAGGCCAGAAATATTCGAATCAAATCATATTATTTAGATAAGATTAAAGAAAACCAGACTTTAAAAATTCAAATAAAAACCAAATCTATCAAACGAACGGAATATGACCTAATAATATGGAGTATACGATAACTCTATATTTATATCGTTGTGTCAAAACTAAAAGATAGAGTAGCGAGTACCCGTACTCAACTCATTTTGAAAGCCAAAACAAAGTTAATAAAATATGAAAATATTATGAGAACAAAAATGCTACTTGTGCACAATTTGGTATACAGCAATGGATTGCACCAATACTTTAAGGATAAAACTATTTGTACCCCAAACTTTTGTACTCCATTTTGTACACCGCAGGTTTGCACCGACATTTTGTATTAGTGTAAAACTAATTTTTGTTAACACACTAACACTTTGTGTCCGTGTAAATTTTTGTTAACGCACCAACACTTGTGTCGGTGTAAACCATCAAAATGTTTGTGTATCACTGCGGTGTACAAATGAGGTACAATTTTTTGATGTAAGTGTAGCATGACCCATACATGTACTCCATATTTGACCTCATTTTGTACCCCAATGTTTTGCCCTGACATTAAATGTAGGTACAAACTTGTAATATGCCAGTGTTGCACCTACATTAAATGTCAGGTTAAACCTCTGGAGTACAAATATGAGGTACATGTAGCATGGTCCTACATTAATGACTCACATGCAATATTGTACAGTGATATTCTATACCAGTTGAATTGTCTAAGTACTGGTGTAACCCCTTATACAATTTGATGTCAAAACTCAAAAGTATGGTGAAAGGTGGGCAGTGTACTCAAGTAACTCAACTCACTTTGAAAGCCAAGACAAAGTTAATAAAAACCTAAACTACTCCGTATTACCAAAGGATAACTCACTGTTCCGGAGAGGGCGGTTTCGCTTGGTTGGAGCGTACATGGAAGAATTGGAGGGAGCATTGAGTGAAAAAGGTTTAAAATTTTCAACTCATCCACAAAAGGGTCGCTGCCTTTTTACTTCCCGAGATTTTTCTCCAGGTACCTATATCTCTTCTTCATCTCTACGAGATCTTCTTGAAGAATCAATTTTGTGCTTGAACGAGCAATTTTTACTATGTTTGGCTAATCAATTTATTCAAAAATTGGTTCCGAATAGAAAAAATAAAATTTACTACATATATATTTTGAATTTAAATATAAAGTTCTACAAAATAAGAAGTGACTCGAGTATTTTATCCTAGAACTGATCAATGTAAGGAAAGATGATATGATCTTACTAAGATTTTTGCAGGATGGGAGTATATTAAGGCGTGTTCTACTCAACCTTTAATTTTAGTTATCCATACTTCAATTACTTGTCCAAACCCTAAACTTTGGTTCAAATTAGAATTGCATCCAATCTGCAGTTTCCAGAATATAATTTTTAGACTTCAAGTTTCAGTCTTACCAGATTCCACTTAAATTTAGTGTAAAGAGGAGACCCTAATGAGCATCGGGCTTTTTGTTGATGAGTCGGCCTTTTTCTGTCATTTTAGGGGAAGTAATCATCAGCCAAGAGCCGTATGTTTCTGTTCCCACGAAAACGAAGAGTGAACCATTGCCAAAATGTGAATGGTGTTTTACATCATCTAATGTTAAGAAGTGTTCTTCCTGTCAAGTGGTTTATTATTGTGGCCAATTATGTCAGGTATACAATAACAAGTAATTCTTATGATGTACATTAGGAATTTTGCTGCCTCTAATGAATATCAAGCCATTTGTATTGTCAATTTCTTGATGACACTTATTATGTACGCACACATATTCAACAACAACATAGTAAAGTCCTACAAGTGAGGTAGGAGGGCGAGCGTATGCACATGTTACCCGTACCAAAAAAAGGTAGAGAGGCACTTGCCCATATTAACATGATTAATTTTCAGAAGTCGGACTGGAAGTTGCATCGACTTGAATGCCAAGCACTGTTGAAAGTTGAACGGGATAAGATAAAATCCCTTGCACCAACGATAAGATTGATGATCAAACTGTATATCAGGAAAAAGCTGCAGAGTGAAAGTGTAGGTAATCTTATATGTTTGTTTTTGCCATATCTATAGATGAAACATCTTTTAGTTCAACATTCCATCTATGGAATGATAGAAATAGGAAATAATGATGTTAATGTCTTCAGGTTAGGCTCCTAGTGCTTTGTTTCGATTGAAATTTTTTATTTTCTGATGTTTCTTTTGGTTCACAATCTCTAGCGAGACCTCACTCCTCAATCTAAATTTAGTTAATAATTTCACCTTTTAATCAACTTGTACCCGTCACATATACTCGTATTATATACTGGGTGATCAAGTAGTGCATGGAATAACATGTTGCCCATGTGTGCATCAACTGCCCCGTGGCAGAGGCTATATGGGCCAAGTCACTATAAGGCTAGGGTATGCGCTTCTTCTAACACCAATTGGTTTTAGAAGAGTTGGTAGCGCTTGAGGTCCTACTTCCTACAAGTGGCATCGGAGCCAAGGTCACGAGTTTGATTCCCAGCGGGAAAAATTGCTAAGGGGGATATTGTTGGCCATGTGTGCATCAATTGTCCCGTGGCAGAGGCTATATGGGCCAAGTCACACTCGAATGTCATGTGCACGTGTGTGCTGAATGCACTATAAAGCTATGGTATGCACTTCTTCTAACACCAATTGGTTTGAGAAGAGTTGGTAACACCTGAGGTCCTACATAATATACATAGGGTTGGCCATAGATTTTTCCTAGTACAACTTCTAAAGAGATGGGAACATATTTAATTCATGGAATCACATTTGTTTATAAACCCTTTGCAAACGATCTATTATTCTACCAGTATTCACGAACTACTTCCTTACTCATAAGGGGATTGGTCTGTTTTAACTGTGTATTTGGAACATTTGATTCAGATGAGCAGAGTGTAGTGTCTGTATTGGAGATTTGGAGATCACAAAACCTCTAATATTATTTTCTTATTGACAGAACATCCCAACTACTGTTATGGACAACTACACTCTGATAGAAGCTTTAGTTTCTCGTATCCTTCATCCTTGTGTATATTTTGCCTTAGTTATATTGACAAAAGTCAAATTCTTTTACCTTAACATACTTCTGTTGGAAGACATGTCTGATATTGATGGGGAGAAACTAGTGTTGTATGCTCAGATGGCAAATCTTGCAAATTTGATTCTCCGTTGGACTGATATCAATATAAAAGAGATTGCAGAAAACTTTTGTAAGGTATTTAAGCTAGACACTGGATAGTTTTCTCACATTCAATTTCTTACATATGTCATTTTTTAATCACTAATAACTTTGTTACAATGTAGTATCTATTCATACTTTTTTTCTCAACCTATTGAAGTTCAGAGATATTTCACTCTGCTTGATGCAATTGTTTTTTATTTACGTTTATGTCCGTGTTATGGTTGTTGACAGTTAAGAATTAAGACCCTTTTTGACTAAATCTGACTTTGCAGCAATAGACATTCCACAGCCAGAAATTTCCAGTTTATGTAGTTGAGGCTTATGTTTTTTACGTAACTATTGAATGGACCAATTTATAGATGTTAGTTTATTCTTGTGGATGCTACTTCAGGCACTAGCTTAAAAAATCTATTATTTGCACCTGTTGCCCATCTTATTCTTCACATTAATTCTGCCTATCTGAAATGATTTGACATATTGTTTACTGTAATATATCCTGCTGATATTATGAACTTGTAGTTTGCATGCAATGCACACACAATCTGTGATAGTGAACTGAAACCCCTTGGAACTGGGATCTATCCTGTAATTTCTATGATCAATCACAGGTAATTCCTATAAAGTATGCTAGTCTACTTTCCCTACCCAATTCCTGTAAAGTATGCTTGTAGCCTTTTACACCATAGTTGTTTGCCCAATTATCTGTGAAGTATCGTGGTCTATTTTTCATTTTGCCTGCCCACTTTTTCTAATTGAGCTTTTACACAACAGTTGTGCGCCCAATTCTGTTTTAGTGTTTGAGGGACGATTGGCAGTGGTGCGTGCTCTGCAGGATATAAAGAAAGGTACTGAGGTAAGTCTTTTGTCAGATTTAATCATATGCAAATGTGTGTGATGTTTGTCTTACACATGTTAGGATGCGAGATTGCGAGTTTGTTGTCAATAGTGAGGGGGAATTAGCTATGAGTATATTGTCAGCTGGGTGGGGTGGGTTGGGGGGGGGGGGGGGTTCATGGAGCATTGCCAACAATGGGCTCAGTTAAAAACGTCCGCATAGAGATAGCCATCTTCTCTTGATAAGATGAAACCCTAAAAGTTCTTATCTAAATGTTGGGCTTTATAACTTTAGCAGTTGTTGGGACCTTGGTAAAGGATTTATTAAATATTAAAGTCATCTAGATTAGAAGAACAAAGAGGGAACACATATTTAAATTATAGTAAAAAACTTCTTTGATGCTAATTGTGTGTTTTCTATGCTTGTATGCTTGGTGTTCTCTATTTGCAATACTTTTCCTTTTTTACCTTTACTTTGTTCTTTGTCTCTTTGTGTTTTGTACTTTATCCGTGCCTTCATTACTTTATGAATCTCCTGCGATATTTTTATCTATGCAGCTGAGCCGGGGGTCTCTTGGAAACAGCCTCTCTACTGACCCTACTCTTGTGAGATCTAACTGAGTTGTTGTTGTAATTTCTTTGATGCTAAGTAAGAAAAGTAGGGCCAAGTGCATTCTAGTTGTTTCTTGTCATCCGGTAGAGAGAAGGTACTCTTTTCGAACTAGTTTTTTACAATCTAAACGAGGTCAAAATAATGTGTCACACAAGGATAAATTATATGGTCAAAAGATGTAATGAAAAACATGGAGGATGTTATTACTTACTAATGGATATCATGGAAGACCTTGTCCACGACCTCAGAGAAATCATTGGAAGAGATTAAGAGAAGAACAAGAAGTTATGGTGGATTGGAGAACAACCAATTGCTCTAGGGAAGGAAGAATGCATAGTCTCCCTTACGCACCCAAAAGTTATTACTCCAATAATGGTTTTATTGTGCTAACTAATATTCCTTATATAGGCAGTAAAAAGAATCCGACGCGTAAAAGATAACCGGGGAGGGTGTGTGTATGCAGGCCTTGCCCCTACTTGAAAGTAGAGAGGCTGTTTCTCATAGACCCCCGACCATAAGATCACAGAGGCACATAAAGCAGAGAAGGCACAAAGCACAAATATGCGTCTGGGAGGGTGTGTGTACGCAGACGCGAAAGTAAAGAGATTGTTTCCTAGAGACCCCGGCTCAAGCAGATAATATAAGATCACAGAGCCACGTAAATCACAAAAGGTACAAAGCACAAATATGCAAAGAACAAAATAATGTTAAACGAATGAAAAGTATTGCAAGCATAAAGCACCAAGTATATAAAGCACACAACAAATGTAGAAAGCTACAACCTAGCCCAAAACACCTACCCAACTACCCTAATCCTAGCTTTCATAAAGGCCATATCTTCAGTAAGGGCAATAAGTCTTAAGACCTGTCTAATTGCCTTCTACCAATTCTTCTTAAGTCTATCCCTTCCCCTACTCCCACCCACCAACGTAAGCATCTCACACCTCCGCACTGTCAGCATTCTGCCGCCTCACATGCCCAAACCAGCTCAAGATAGTTTACTGTAGCTTATCTTCCACAGGTTCCATGCCTACCCGTCCTTGGATAACCTCGTTCTGAACTCTATCCATCCTCATTTGCCCACTCATCCACCGGAGAATCTGCATCTCTGCAGTATGCAATTGACGAACGTGGGTTTTCTTAACTACCCAACACCCCACACCATACAACATGGCTGGTCTGACTTATGTTTCATCCTAGCCGAAATCTTCTTATCGCACTAAACCCTAAAGCCAACGTCCACTTAGCCCAAGCCGCTTGAACACGATGCGCAACATCCCCGTCCATAAAAGGAAAGAGAATTCTAAATTATTACAGCTTATATTAACTAAAGATTGAGCTAATTAGGAATACCAACAATAGGTATAAACTGGAGAATAACATATATAATCATATATGTTGAATTAGTGGTACTCCAATGAATAAAGAATCATAGTCTTCCATAACTTTGTAGTTTTGGTCTTGGTATATAACTATATTACAGCTGGACATCCCGTACTGTTAGGGGTGAACCGGGGGTCTTATCAAGTTGGAAAGTTGATGGGGAATTGGTAAAGGAAATGAATGGGCAGTGTTATAGGCCGAGTTGGTGAGGGATGAAAAGGGGAGGTATGAGTGTTCTCTTGGCTTGAGAATGCAAAGGAAAATGCAGGAGATATGTTCGAAGAGGCCTGGGTGAAATGGTGATATATGCAGGAGGAGTTCTTTTTGGTATTTTTGGATGAAAGAAAAGAATTAAGTTTAAGAAGAAGAAATGGAGAGATATGAAATGGGAAGAGGTAAAATGAAGGGATAAACCAAATTGGTGTTTAAGAGATATTACACACTCTTATCTTAACTTGGGGTTAAGTCTAGAACTTAATTAAGATATAACACACTTAATTAAATATCTAGAACCTAAAACTCACACTTAAGATAACCACTCTTAAGATATAGATTTAGGAATTTAAATAGCAAACACAACAAGTGTATTACTAAATGGAAAATGGAATTACAAT